AACACACGAAAGGACACTTCACTCTGATTGGGCAGAAAAACACAAAGATTTTCTGGCACCAATCAGATGGCAGAACGACTGCGACCGTTTGGAACTAGTCTTGTAAGACAATGTCCCCAGGGGCTCTTCTGCCCTTAACTTGAAATCGACTCACTGCCCCTGGGTCTCCGAGGATGGGTCCAAACAAACATAGCGAGCAACTGAGAAATTAGTATTTGTCCGTGTTGCAACACACGAAAGGACTCCAAAGCACACTTCACTCTGATTGGGCAGAAAAACACAAAGATTTTCTGGCACCAATCAGATGGCAGAACGACTGCGACCGTTTGGTCGTTTGGAACTAGTCTTGCAAGACAATGTTCCCAGGGGCTCTTCATGCCCTAACTTGAAATCGACCCACAGCCCCTAGGTCTCCGAGGATGAATTCACATCGAACAGTACTAAATTATGAGACAAACTATGAAGCTTTATTTTGACTATCCATAGTACAACTGGGATTTGACGGATGCTTGTGAAAAAATATAGCTATTGGAACACTCGTGGTTTATCTCATTCTATAATAATGAAAACACTCTTAAATAAATTAAGTTGAAAGGTTAAATTAGGTTTGCAAACTATGCATACTAACCTATCCTGCTCCTAATCCAAATGTTTATCCTTAACATCACATTTGAAAAATAATTGATTCACCCATCAACTGAGGTGGTGTCACTAAGTTGTGGTTGGATCAAGGAAGCTCAAATTTAATTAGTTTTGTTTTCTCAGGGAGCCGAGTTATATGAAAGATATTTACAAAACATAGCAAGGTCGATTCACGTTAGCAAAGCAGTCATTTGTTGCATCTTTGTTGTGGAGTAGATTGGGGGAATAAAGATCAAACGTGACTTACTTGATATTTGTCCTTATTCCTTAACTCAGGCGTAATGACATTTGCCTTGGTAATTCGTCTATGCTCAATCTTAATGTTGCAATAGTTAACGAAATCACTGTCTCACTTGATGGTTACCATTTTTTTTTTCATCCTCGAAGCAAGACCGTGGCATGATAATTCGAACGACAACTACTCCCCAAACAAAATGTTTCTATTTTTCGCTCGCATTCATGGATGAAACTTAAGCGTGTATAGGACATCACCTAATTTTCTATTGTTGTTATCTAAACGTAATAAAGAAAAAATTGGATATGGTGGTGCTTTATTTCCACATGTTACCGGGCAAAAGAGGCATTTGTCTCAGCAATGGCCTCCAATAAAGGTGAAAGGATTTCACGGACGTCCTCTGAAAGAGGCTCACAAACGATTCGGAACCGAGATTGGGGAAATCAGAGTATAAGTTAAGGACAGCCGAGGCATTATCTTTATCTGTTACAAAAGACTTCCTGATAATTATCTAGTCATAAATTAATATACATAAATTAAATTATTAAAAGAGATAAATCATTTAAATTGAAAGGGAAGAATAAGGGTTCAGAGATACAAACAGTGGTGAATTTTTAATTACGTGATCCTAGAAACACTTGTGTAATGAGTTTCCTTTCCAATACTTGCGACAGTAGGCCGAGGCCCCTCACATGACGGGCGCTGTCAGGTATTTGGCAGTTGAATATCCAACTGTGTCGTAACAGACTGGTAACGAGCGAGTCGTGTCACCATACGTGTTGCCGAATCTAAAACGTCGCTCTGTGAAATGAAAGAAGAAAGGGACGCGAGAATGAAAACAAGTAATCAGTCAGTCAGGTGAAATTTCAAAGAAATCACAAGAGCAAGTCAGGAGAGAGCAAAATATCACAAGTGGCAGATGAGAAATCAACAAATATACTTTGGTCTAAGTTAAGCGTCTGATTTCTTCAGAAGGTGGCTCGAATTGTTTTTATCATGAATCACAGAGGGCAGTAAAGCCAACCCAAAGTAACACAGTGATCACTTCAAACAGTTAATGGAACAATTAAGTGGCGAGTGTCGACTTACGTGGTATGTATCCTGTGTATTTTGGTTTCATCCCTACTTTCTTGTACAGCGTTCCGTGCTCTGCGATCAGTGGTTTCACAGTCGCCACTGGCATCCTGAAAGGATAGGCGTTCGTAATTGATTAGAGTCCAGAATACGAGCCGATTCTTTTGTTATTTGTTTTGTTTACCTGGTTACGTCAATGACTTGGGTAGCCAGGCCTTCTTGTTTCAGGCGCATTTCAAGAGAGTCCGTGAAGCCATCTTTGGTCCAGGTGGCATACCTAGTTCCCAGATCATGCTCCCTCCTCCGTGGTACATAACCTGTGTAGCCTGGTAAAGGTGCTTCGCAGAGTTTGCGATGTTCACCTTCAAGAAACGAGATACCCTTGATTAGCTCCTATCAGGGTTGTTGTGAACTAATTTCACCCCATCCTCGGAGACCCAGGGGCTGAGTCGATTTCAAGTTAGGCCATGAAGATCCCCTGGCGACATTGTCTTACAAGACTATTTCCAAACGAACAAACGCTAGCAGTCGTTCTGCCATTTGATTGGTGCCAGAAAATCTTTGTGTTTTTCT